AGGATTGCAAGAGGCGGGGGTACGGCAGAGGGAAGGGAAACTAGTTCGTGTTGTGTGCGGTGCTGCGTTTCTCCAATCCATCGGGTCCGTGAGCTGAGTGCGTGGCTGGGCCCTGCCGGCTTCACCTCTCGACTGAATCCTCGTTTCGAGTCGTTTGAATTGGTGAGTCAGGTTGCCTCAGTCATAAAGGCTCGGCGGGAGGAAGCGAAGGAGAAAGGGAGTGAGAGTGTACTTTTATAGTATTTACTTCAGGTTGTTGGAAGCGGTGTCCTGCCGTATGCGGTTGCAGCTTATTCCGGAACAATCCGGATACGGCTGGCCGGTCAGCTGCCGCGAGGAAGGGAAAGCTCGGACCGGCGTCCAGCTGGTCAAGAGCGTGCGCCGGGGAAATGCAGGTATGACGAAGGGGCGGGGCAGCGAGCGATAATGGGGTTATGTTGGGGGGGGTGGGTGCAAGGTGGTGAGAATGGTTGAAGGTTCCGGCTCCTGAGTCTGCGCGTAACAAGGAAGCGTACCGGTGCTGAGCCTGCGTCACAATGTCCCGGGGAAGCACCAATTCATGGACATGGTGGGGTGGTTGGGATGGGGGAGACAGCTGTTGACAGTCAGGGACAACGTTGACATTGCACCAACTCAGCACTTCCCGCCTGGCGTCTTCATTTCTGCTAGTTGGGGCCTTGCACCGCATTGATGTTCGCTTAAGAGCGGTCAAGTGGTATGGGGGTGTCTCTCGGAGCGGGATAATGATTTTGGGATCTGTCCGCGTCCACTGATGGAGTGGCGGTCTGGGTGCTGGTATTCTGTGCCACCCCCGTGTTGGTCCTACTGGATTGCTCATTGGGTTTATCGGATTAAATCACTGGGTTCCCTGTTTTTCGGGCGGGCGGTAGCGTATTTCCTGTTGACTCTGGACAAATGTTTTCAAAAAAAAGGCGCGAAAAGGAATGGCGCTTTGCATTTCAAAGACGAAATTATTGAAAACAACAACCGCGCAGATGAAACTAGGGTTCCCATTATAACTACCGCGACCTACACTCAACACGGTAATTTCTGAACGTTCATAACGTTTAATCAAATGTCTGCTTTCGCGATTAATAAACGCGTTAAGATTTAGCAAGATCTGAGTAAAGCGAGCCATCGTAGTTGGATGCAACCTGTTAAAACTGCCAAGTTGCATCGACGGGGGTTATGATAGGAAAAAAATAGTTGTGATTTTTCTATCCGAGCAGTTAGAATTTTTAAGGTATGCACCTACCGTCAGAAATCCTTGTCAGCAGAAATATGTGGATATTCAGTCAATTCCCAAATTCCTTCATCTCTCCTGGATTCCTCAATGGCCATGATTTTAATGACACTGCGTCAGCTCTGTTTTTTTTTTCAAGAAAAATTACGTCTGAAGTTCTTCAGACGTTAATGTATTTTTCAGAGATAAATACCGTTGTCTGTTACTTTGAAGTTTGTTTCAAGGACATTTTTTTTAATCATGACATCTTAATAGCAGTTGACAGTAAATCTGCAATAACAAGGTGTAGAGCTGATGAACACAGCAGGCCAAGCAGCATCAGAGGAGCAGGAAAGCTGACGTTTCAGGCCTAGACCCTTCTTCAGAAAATGCAATGTGTGACTACTTCAATGGTCAAGACAGTTGGTTTGACCAATGATCAAACATTGTCAAAAGACAAAAGCTGAAAAAGGATAGACAGGGGTGTTCTCAAATGGAGCTTGATGTCTGAAGATGAGGCTCTTGTGTGATGAGCGTTGATTAGGCTGTGCAAAATGCCAGGCCAGGCATCTTAGTACATGACATTTGGTGCGGACTTGACAAAAATCACCATTTCATGGGCTGAATGTTGTTTTGAAGGGTTGGATTTGCTTGTTGCTTGTACTTTGACCAGTGTTGCTGGGAGATGAAAGAAACTTGTCTTCTGTCTTGCTTTTTTTTAATCCACAATTGGCTAGTTCTGGTCATGTTGGTTGACCTCAATGATGGCTACGTTGTAGAGGACTGGGAATGTCATTAGTAATTTGAGTTGACATGCAGAGGTACCTGGGCTGTCGGTCCCTGTGCAAAGCTAGGGTCTGCTCCCGTGTGCTGGGTCTCCTCTAGCGAGTCAAAACCTTGAATTCCTTTTCCGAGTTGAAACCTGCTCTAATGCCCAGCAGCCACACCCAATGTTGTCTACCTGACATGTAAAACTCAATTTCCTGCTGCAATAAATGTAATGTTTAGTTTGTGACTAAATCTGTTTTTTTTAGTCATGGGGTTTTGTGATGCCAGTTTTTCTGATTTTAGAATTCTGTTGAATGAGTGCGCTACTGTATAGCTGGAATAGTATGTACCATGCTTCAACTATTAGCCTTGAACTTGGGCTTCGTAGTGCAAGTTTTGAAATTATCACAGTCTTGTTTGCAAGGAAATGTGTGTTTAAAAGTATTGAAACTGTTTTGATCTTTGAGCTTAGGTGGCAATATTGTTTGGTAAAATGATCAATATTTATTTGTTTGCTTTTTCCACAGGATGAAGAACATCCCAAATCTCTTGCTGTATCCAAAATGGATTTCACTTCAATCCTTCTAATTGTTGACTGTTGTAAAAACCCTGCAAGACAGACTGTTAAGCGCAGTGGATAGCAATTACTGCTGCACAATACTTGAGTGTAGTGCAGATTAATCTTAAGATTTTATTTAATCCAGTTATTTATTACATATCTACATATTTTGTTACCTTATTTTGTATATTTAAGTCAATAGTATTTTTTTAAAACTCCATACCTCTGAAGCATTACAAGCCCGGGTTAGCATGGCGCTAGATGAGTACTTGTGGATGGTTGTTGTTGGTTTCATCATTGCATTTATTCTGGCTTTCTCGGTGGGAGCCAATGATGTTGCTAATTCATTTGGAACAGCTGTTGGTTCAGGAGTGCTGACACTTCGGAAAGCCTGCATTTTGGCAACTATCTTTGAGACGGTGGGTTCTGTGCTGTTGGGTGCCAGAGTCAGTGAGACCATCCGGAAAGGAATAATTGATGTGGAGATGTTCAACTCGAGTCAACAAGTGCTAATGGCTGGATCAGTCAGCTCCATGTTTGGTAAGTCACAAATGGTGGACTTTGTTTTTTTTTTTCTTGCTGTATAGTTGTACGTGAAAGCAGAGAAGTCGGTTATTTCTGTGGGCTTTGATGGTTTGATCTTAAAGCAGCCTGATTTATTCATCAGAATATCATCAATTTATTTGCTGTCCTGGATACATGTTACAGTTGATGAACATTCTGCGAATGGATTGAAAGAAAAAAGCAAAACTTCTACTATTTGTGGGATAATGACCAGAAATGTCATTTTGTCTTTGTTAGGTTCTGCTGTCTGGCAGTTACTGGCTTCATTTTTGAAGCTCCCTATATCTGGTACCCATTGCATTGTGGGTGCTACGATTGGTTTCTGTTTGGTGGCTGCCGGTGCCCATGGTGTGAAGTGGCTGGAGCTGCTTAAGATTGGTAAGTTTGTAACTTCGGCTCAGCTGTGGCTTGAAGTGCATTTCAAATTTGCACCTCATGATTCATTGCATTCTTGATATATAGAACAGTACGGCTGATTATACGACCAACTTGGTGTCCTGACTCATGAATGTCATTAAGTATCAAAAGTAAATTACTGCAGACTGTGACAGATCCAGTGCTTGTGTTGCAAGAACTTCAGTTTTAGAGTGGGTCAGAATTGGCCAAGAGCCTTACCCCTTGTTTTAAACTGTTACTCCTCCAAACACCTCAATGTTCCTGTGTAATTACTTCTAACCACTTAAAAGTACGTAAGTATCAATTTAATATTTTTAGTGAGTATATGTTTGAATAAATACAGTAAAGCTTGTTAAATAATTTGAGTCAGCTCGTTCTTTGAGCAGAATATACTCATACAGTGTTAGACAGCAAATACATTTGTTCCAATCTCAACAGGGCACTGAAATGTGGACAATCAATTTTTCACAATTTGTTGCTATTTAACATTGCGAAATCACCCACTGTGGTCACAATGAACACAGAACGTGAAACATTGAGGTTGCAGTGCATTTTCAGAATTGATAAGTTTGTGTGTTGTAACGTTGTTTTTATTCTCCAATTTGGACAGTGGCTTCTTGGTTCATTTCACCACTGCTATCTGGAATCATGTCTGCTGCTGTCTTTTATTTGGTCCGTTTCTTCATTTTACACAAGGTAGGACAATCTGGAATAACTTAGAGAAAGGATGTGGTCTGGTTTGAAATGGGAGCCTGTTGCTGAAATTGGTGCTAGGAATTTCAAAACAGCTGTTGGATTTGGAAATGTGGTGTTGATACTGAAATGTGGTGTTGATACTTAAATGTTGCTTCAAACTTCTTTTTATTGCTTAGTTGGTGGATGAAGTGGAACTAAGCCCTACCCAAGGTATAAACTCGTCTTTGTTGCTGAAACGAGGGTGTCACAATGCGTTTGCAACAGTTATGCTCAGTCGTTTGGAGCTGTCAGATGGAGAAGCACATCGAATTCTTGTTTCTGATGGAAGTTAGTTGTGAGTTGTTTGTCTTTGAGTCAAGACAGGACTGAAATCAGTTTTCTTTTTGCTGCTTAAAGTTTAATGTGATCCAGATATTCGTTTAGCAAAGAGGGAATTCAAAAAGTGTTAGGAGATGGATTCTGTGGAATTTTATCTTGAGGAGAGCGTAAGTGAGAAAGATAATGAAGCGAGTTAACCAGAGGCTATTATGTATTTAATAATGTGTTCTTTTTAGTTGAGCTCTGTTAGCTTGTGTAATGCCAGGTGTATGTTATCAGTTGCAATGTTCCCTTGTTCAAAAAGGTCATCAAGATGTTGGATGAATTATAGCATTACAAAACAGAAATTAACAGATAGAAGTATATTGCTCCAATTGTGTAACATTTCCATCCTTTCAAGCAAAACTTCCCACTTCATATTTCATGAGCAGTCTGTTGTGACCATCCATCCTAATTTGATAATTTTGAAATGAAGTTTTTCAGTTTAGTTGAAAAATCATTTACACTTCTTCTTGAAACAGAAAGAAGACGGAGTATTTTTAAGATGCGCAGTTAACCTGAGTCGCAGAGTTGCTGCCACAGAACTTGAGCGCCAGGATAGTTAGTGAAGAGGTTCAAATTTGTTCTTGATCCATTCTTAATCCATAACAGCTTTGGGGGTGATTATTGCACATTTGGATACCCACAATATCCAACGTAGTCAGACTTGAGTTGGATGAATGCTGGCCCTGAGAGAGAAATTTGATACAACTTCGATTTGTCTGTCAGAGATCTTGCATTTAAGTTGAGGTGTTTAAGTGCAGCTATTGTTAGCGTTCATCCAGGATCTTGAGCTTCTGAGGAACTAAATCTTATTTCAGATCTTTGAATTGGATCAACTGAGGGATGCCATTCCTGATTTAAAACAACATCCTGTTTACAGTCACTAGCTTCCCAACTGGGAACTAATGCAAGGGTTCTGCAATTGCCAGTCACAAGAACATGGCTTCCTCTCCTCTTGTCATTGTGCTCATCTGAAGTTCTATCACCAACAAGATTTCTGCTCCTTTTTCACTCTGACATTACATGCCAATAATGTTAATTGCTCTAGTGTTAGCATTCATGAAGTGTAGCTTCCAGGTTGTATTCATCCTTCCTTAGAGATGATGAAAATTGAACGGTTCTCCAGCTGTGAGCAAAGTGACATGTAATTGGTATCTTTGTTTTCATTGTTTAAGGTAGTGAGCATGTTAGACCAAGTGAGCCAGTGGACATGATCTACTTGGATTTGAATAAGGACGTTGACAAGGTGTCACATGGATTGCTAAATAAGACACCACAGTGTTAAGGGCAAGAAACTGTCATGGATAGGACATTGGCTGACTGGCAGAGTGGAGATGAAGGGTTTTTAAAGATGGCACCTAGTGACTTGGGGAGCTTGCAGGGGTGAGTGTTGGGAGCACAAGTATTCACATTATATATTAATGGTTGGGAGCGCATTGTTGCTAAGTTTGCAGTTGACAGAAAGATAGATGGAGCGACAAGTAGTGTTGAGGAAGTAGAGGTTGCACAAGAATTTAGACAAGCTAGGAAAATGGGCAAAGAAGTGGCAGCTGGAATACGATGTAGGGAGTGAAAGGTCATGTAGAAATAATACAAGCATAAACTAGTTTCTAAAGGGAGGAGAAATCTGAAGCACAAATGGACTTGGGAGTCCAAGGTCAGAATTCTCTGAAGGTTAACATGCAGGTTCATTTGGCAGTAGGGAAGGCAAATGCAATGTTCAGGTTGATTTCGAGAGGGCTAGATTACAAGAAGACTGACTTGTCTCTGAGGCCACATATTGCTGTGGTCAGATCACATTTGGAACGTTGTGACCAGTTTTAGGCCCCGTATCCAATGAACTAATGTGCTGGCTTTGTAGGGGTCCAGCAGAGCTTAACAACAATGATCCTACTAATGAAGAGTTTGTCGTATGGAGAGCTGTTGAGGACTGTGGGTATTTACTTGATGGATTTCAGAAGGATGAGGGTGGATCTGATAAAAACTGAAAGAATACTGAGAGGTCTAGATAGAGGTGGATGAGAAGACGCTTACACTAGTAGCAGAGACAAGGACATGAGGGTACAGTCTCTCAATGAAGGGACGATCCTTCAGAACTGAAATGAGGAGGGATTTCTTCAGCCAGCTAGTGTGGAGAAGTCATGGCCACAGAAGGAACTGGAGGCCAAGTTAATGAAGTGTACTTAAGACAGAGATTGATAAGTTCTTGATTAGTCATGGTGTCCAGGGTTATGGTGAGAAGGGAGGAGAGTGGTTTTGACAAACCAAACAGCCATGATTGATTGGTGGAGCAGATGTGAAGGGCTGAAAGGCCTAATTCTGTACCTGTAACTTGTGGTTTTACAGCTATTTAACTTCCCAGTGACTTCCTAGGTGGTGTGTGCAGCCTTAATGTTCCCATGAATGACTGCATGCAATGGTCACTTAAGATGAGCATTTAAAAATCTGTCCAGATCGCGTTTTTTTTTTAAAGTAAACATTTTTGTTGAAAAAAAGGGTTTGAAGCCAAACTTTTGCTAATTTTGCTTATGTTGAATTTGAAATTTTGCAGGCTGACCCAGTGCCAAATGGACTCCGAGCCCTGCCTGTCTTCTACGCCTGTACAATTGCAATCAATCTTTTCTCGATCTTGTACACAGGAGCACCTTGTAAGTATCAATTGATGGAAGTTCAAGGCTCTTATCTTTTATGCAGATGTCCAATTACACTTGATAAAATGTGTATCAACTTGTATTCACCCTTAAGGTTGATCAAACAGGGTTTGCTTGCAGAGGTTCTCAAACTTCCTTGGATGAATGGGGAGCATTCTCAATTGTGTTTGAATCAAGTATTATCATTGCTTTGTTTTAAGTCTGTAGTCAAACTTTTTTAAAAATAGCTGGTTACCACTTGTAATTTGTGTACGCTATTTAGAAATGAAAGAGGTATGTGGTAAAGAGTTTAGTAACTGGTAAAGAAGGAAATTGGGGAAATTGCATAGTCCATACTTTGGGTATGCTTTCAAATATGGCTATTTTAGGACTGGGTTTGGGCAGTAATAGCAGGATGTTAGTTTTCAAGCCCTTGGTATGGAGACAGAACATAAAATTTACAGTTGCATATTTGCCCATTGCAAGGCTGAGTCAGGAACAAATTTGCCTATTAGTAGCTTCCAAGCTTTGTAATTTGCTTGAACAATTTTGTACAGAGGCAGAAAATTGCAGTGGTGTTCAGAGTGGGTTCTGGTTTGCATTGTGCTGTTGCCTTTTGGAAATGGAGGTTTCCTTCAGATGTTGGTGAGATGAAAAATAACGAGCCCAATCCTACGGTTAGTAGCAGTCAAAATTATAGTTGTGAAGTTTCATTTTGTGCCCATGCAAGTTTACATGGCTCCTCAATAGGTTTTCGTTGAGTTGTTAGTAATATTTCCTTGCACTGTTGTTTAGTCCCTCAGTTTTTAGTACAGTCAATTTTGTTTTCTAAAGTTTACATTTTCTCTTGCTAGTATTGGGATTTGATCGAATTCCACTTTGGGGTACCGTGCTGATTACAGTGGGGAGTGGTCTGATCTGTGCACTCTTCATTTGGTTCATCGTCTGTCCCAGAATGAAGAGAAAAATCGAAAGTAAGTGAAATTTACAGACTTCCACAGTGAGCTTTCAGGTGAGTGTGCCAAGACAAGTTCGAGGATCATGGACACTAGTTTATTCAGTATTGAATTTATCAGTTAAAATGGGGTATTAGAGCATAGATGTCTGATGTTTAAATGCAACTACTGTTGTTCATTTTAATAACAAAGCAAAATATCCTTTTATGGTCACTAATATTTTGCTGTGTTCAGCAATATCACTTGTTTGCAGAAAGGATTGCACTGGATGTGAACAGTCTTTATCTCCCTGCTCCCACCACACTTTGTACTCCTTCCCTTGCCTGCTCCAAGAAGCTGGGAAATGTACTGAAGAGTTGGCTTTGAATTTGTTTAGGAAGCCATGGACGAAACGTTCAGCTAAGGCTTGTGTGCTATAGAAGGCCACTGTAGTCACTATGACCTAATTTGGCTGCTTGTCCCCATTATGGATTATTTGATTTAAATGAACTTAGTACTGAAGGGAAGGAGGTGAGATTTACATGGAGTTGGGTTTTATTGAGGCCTCAGTGATGTGAAACAGTGGTTTGTCGTCATCATCAGTCACTCAGTTAAAACTAGCAAGATGGCAAGTGGCTTGGAAGTAAAAGTTTACTGAGGACCCAAACTTGGAATGACTGTTGTACTTGGGAAGATGTGTATTTCGACTTGGTGCTTTGTGTCCAAGTATCAAAATACTGAACAGAAAATAGAATTGATCAAATTGGAATTCTGATACCTTAATGATAGTGCGATTGGTCATTGATTGCAAATGGACGACTGGCATGACTGCAGACGTCCCTTGGTTCAGGGAACGCAAATTGTGTAAGTATTTTTGATGAAAGTGGTCTGGTGTCAAGCTTTAAACTGTTAAGATGTGAAAAATATGTTTCTGTGGAACATTGTCTTTTTTTTTCAATCACCATTTTAATGGGCTGCTCGTTATGTGCCTGAAGTTTTGGAACAAAGGATGTATTGTTGAGCGTATCACAAGCTGTATGATGTTTGGTTGATATTGAATTTCGTTTGTCAAATTGCTCATTAATTTAGTGAGGTCCAAAAGGGGAGGACTTGAAGCTGTTTTTGTGACTGCTGAAGCCTGCATGTTTTCTAATTTTAAGTCTGAAGATGATTTTCTATTGTGTTTTGGCATTTCCTGTCAACAGCTGAGATTAAAGCCTGTACTGTACGTAGCACTGTGCTGGATAAGAACAATGATGATTACTATTCAATGTCCAAAGATGAGGTGGAAGAGCCTCACTTGAAGGCTCTGCTGACAGATGCAGCATCTGAAATGAAGACTCCTCTGACGGTTGGTGTTTCTGCTGTTGTACCATCCAAGCAGAATCTGGAGAAGCCACATACAAGAATTGCTTTTATAGGAGACTCTACAGAAGATGTGTGCAAAGATGACGTTTCCAGTGGAGAGATGAAGGAAACTAACATTGATCACGTTATCAATGGTAAGCTGTTGAATCTGTCTTTGAAATATAAATACAGAAGGTAGATGTCTCTTGTGGATCAGGCCAAATCCCCTTCACATAAATCAAGGAGATAGGGTCAACGCTATCTCTTTGTGCCTTGAAAGTGCTGAGTTCCAGATGTAATTCATTTGGTCATCCTACTTGGCTTTCAGCAAAATACACCAGATTCTTAGACCCAGTTAACATCCAAACAAAAGAAAGAGGAATGGGTGTGACTTGAACTCAATTGGAAAATTTAATGGAATACTACATTATTTAAGTACAAAACAGCAATTGTTCCAAATAAATTAAGAGCCCATAAACATACCCTTGGCTAGCATTAATTTCAGTAAAATAGTTTCACAGGCGATGTTTCTCCAGTCTAGGAGAAAAGAATACGAAGAGAAATTTCTGGCAGAGAGAGAACTCCAGCTTGTTGCTGTGGCCGAGAGACGTGAAACAGATTGCGTAGCCAGCTTCAAAACCCAAGCAACTGAAAGCTAAATTTAGTTCCTGGTTTTGTGGGAGCCTGACTCCACTTGTTCATGCTGCTTGTATTGTTCTAACTTCAAACAAAAAGAGGGTGTCACAAACTGTTTACTTTGTTAGCCTGGAAGAGAAAACTTGACACTTCTAGTTCAAAACTCTCTTCGAAAAACACAAGCCAAAATAAAGCCAACACAAGCCATCATATCGTCACAATGTCACATTCTTGAATATGGCTTTCCATCAAAACATGTTACATCTTGAGGATATGTGAACCATATGCTTGGCAAAACTGTGTATGGTTCAGTACAAAACTAATTCCTGTCCTAAATGTGTGAATTGGCGAATCCTAACCTGTAACTACTCATCTGAGTTTTGAAATTTAACTAGTCATCCTTGCAACAGTGTGAATTTATGGAGCAAATACCAGTTATTGGGTGGTGGGAATCAACTTTTGTTGGCCACTGGATTTGTGAAGGTATTTTCGGATTACTTAAACCCAATCCACCAAGGCATTTTAATTTCCTCCTTGAAAAGCACTTGATTTGTGATTTTTGACTTTGGATTAACCAGCCTTGCAATATCATCACATGATTTATGCATTTTGGAACTGCACTTGGGCATGTGGCTATTTCAAATGAAGAGGTTAGTTTGAAGGCGGAGAAGGCGACAAACAGACACTCCATGTTTTGATCAGGTAGAATACTGAGAGTAAGCATTTTAAAATCAATTCCAGCATTGTTTACCCACAAACATGTTTTATATTGTTTGCCAATTGTTTTGAAGTGTGAGCTGAGATGGTGCAGGAAACAAAACGTAGACATTTTCTCATCGATATGTTCAGATGTTATATATTTGTGGGGTGGCTGGGATTTGACCCCAGGCATCCTCGTGCACAGGGAGGGACAGTACCACAAAGCCCAAGTTTAGACTTGTGTGGAGGTAGCATTGCTGATGTTTCAATGAATCTCTGTTCATATGTTTTAGGGACCATGCAATTTGGAAACAACCATGTGCAGTTCAACCATGTTGTTGGGAATCAGACCAGCACCAATGGCTATAGTGGTCACTACCATACTGTGCACAAGGATTCAGGATTGTATAAAGAACTCCTCCACAAGTTGCATTTAGCTAAAATGATTGACTGTGCTGGGGACTCTAATGAAGTGAGCAGCAGGCCACTGCGTCGTAATAATAGCTACACGTGTTACACGATGGCAATCTGTGGCATGCCCCTTGATTCTTTCAAGCCCAAAGAAGGAGAAGCAAAGTCTGAGGAAATGGAAAAACTGACAGCATCTGGACTAGAACCGAAAAAACGCATCAGGCAAGACAGCTACAGTAGCTATTGCAATGCCATGGCTGATTCCAACACAAGTGCTGATAATGGAGGTGTGAAGCTTGAAATTGAACTGGGAGACCGCAAGTGCAGTGATGGGTCTGTGGAGGAATGGCGTGAGGAAAAGCCCGAAGTTGCATTATTGTTTCAGTTCTTGCAGATCCTGACTGCCTGCTTTGGCTCCTTTGCCCATGGTGGCAATGATGTCAGGTGAGTAACACTGGGATTTTTACAAGACAAAGAACAGTGTGGTGTTTGAGCTTTCCATTCACTGTCTTTTGGCTTCTTTTATGTGGGAAACAAGTACTGATGGTGAGAATTCTGCATGTCGTTTCTCAACAAAAAGCCAATCTACTTGAATAAGGCACAAGGAAATGATGAACTTATGGAAGCTGGTTGGGTCAGGCTAACATTGTAGGAGAAAATGCCGTCACGTTTCACAAGAGTATTGAAGTTTGCTCCAGAGAGAACCATTGGGATAGATGGTCAGAGTTGGGTTGAAAATGGATGTTTTGTGTAAACAAACCTTGCAAGTACAAAACGGACAAGTGTTGGGCAAGGCAGTTCCAGACCTTTTTGGAGCCTTAAAGATTTCATGAACTTTTGGCAGTGGTGAAGCAATTTAAAATTAAATTGGCACATGACAGCTAAGTATGGCTTGTAGCTTGGGCTAAGCGGTGATAGGAAGTAGACTGAGACTTCAACAGGCCACAGTCAAAACGCAAGCCTATGTGGAGCAGGAGGTTGTAATTGAGAGGTTCCCTGTTGGGTCCTAGGAACTAACAAGATGTTCAAGGGTAATGAAGTGGCAACTTGAGAATTGGAGGGCTGAAGGTTAATGTTGCATCGCTAATGTGCCATCATGTTCTACAGACAGGTGTGGAATGTCAAAATTCTGAACTTCTCATTTGAGGATAAAGACGTAATGTAATTGAAACACTTCTCGTGCTGAGGTTCCATCTTGTAGGAGAGACCAAAACAAGCCAGCAGTTTAGAAAAATGCTTCTGCAGACAGACAGGAGTAAGAATGTTGTTTTTCCTTCCAGTGGTCATTGATCTGTGAAACAGACTTGAGAGAAAGTGGGGGCTGGGTGACTTATTGTTAATGGTTGTTAGATTTATGCAAATATGGGTTAGGGCAAGAGGTGAGATGGCTGCAGACAACTTCCTGGAATTCAGACAAGTACAAGACCCATTATCCGCTTCAATGGTAAAGTTGGCTTGAAGGGATTCCCCTCATGGCCCTAGGTCCTGTGATACAGCAGAAAACATAAAATGTGATGACAAGTTGTCATTGGTGCACATTGTCCTGGGATTTGGATTAAGGTGGAGAATGACTGACTGCCAAATAACATGGAAGCTGTATTTCACTGTGACCAACATTTAATGGTCTATAGTTTGTGCGCAGGAAGACTAATGTGATGAGCAGTCAAATAAAACTAAAATGCCTGGGTTATATGCTTCTTTCCATTGCATGTAGCTCAAACAATTCTTTCCTTTGTTCTTCAGCAATGCAATTGGTCCCTTGGTTGCTTTGTGGGTTGTTTACTACACAGGCGATGTGAATTCGAAGATGGAAACTCCAATCTGGCTTCTCCTATATGGAGGTGTGGGCATATGTCTTGGTCTGTGGGTCTGGGGACGGAGAGTGATTCAGACAATGGGAAAGGATCTGACACCAATTACTCCCTCAAGGTAAACCATTCTGCCTCCATTATTGAGTCATTGCATAATGCAGTGCATAGAATGCTGAATGTGAAATAGGGCTGTGTTAGGTTTATTGACATTGCTGCGCATGTTGCATCAGTGGTTTTTAAATTTTAGATCTAGTGAAATTGCTCAGTCTGTAGATGTAAAAATTTGGTGTGCAGTAACACATTTCAGGTGCGGAAACATGTACTGCATGATGTTGTAGGTTTCCACTTAACACTGGCATCAAGTGTAAGCTCGTCAGGGCATGCCCTTCTCTTATTGTTGTTCAAGTATTGTGTGTAAACTGTACATTTAATGGCTAATCGTTGCCCATTAGGTTTTGGGGAATTTAATGCTGTGGTTTTAACACAAACTGTTGGAGCATTTTGTCCAGCAGATTTAAGTTGGTGGTACTTTTTATATTGACAGACAGTTAAAGCCATGTAGGCAGCAATCTTGAATGAAAATCTGTTCTCATTTAGTGTTGTTAGCTTTAAGGGACTTTATCTAACTGCAGATGGATTTTTTTTTTGGATTGGGCAGGGTCTAATAGAGTTGGTTAAATTCTTAGTCCCAGCACTTGTAGTTGTAGTGTTGAGCCATCATTTTATTGAGAAGGAATTTGAAGTATGTAAGACAGCATGTTACAAATCAATTCACTTTTTACAGTGGCTTCAGTATTGAATTGGCCTCTGCTCTAACTGTGGTCGTTGCTTCAAATGCTGGTCTTCCTGTCAGTACAACACATTGCAAGGTAAGTTTTCTTCACCAGTACTGCAAATAATGGTGTGGAATCAATCTGGAGACAATGGGTGCAAAAAGTAAAACTGAAGCTTGCAGCCAAAATTTTGGCGTTTGCATTGATCTAGGCTAAATATGAACTTCATTTGCGTGGGTTACATGGTGATGCATGCAGACGATTGATCATGTTTGGACATGGCTTTTTTAACTACCATTGTGATGCTTTATGCTAAGGTCTGGCACTTGACTCAAACTTGGAAATGTTTTAGCATTTATGGCCAGATAGAACTGAATGTAATATATGTGTAGACACTTGAATGAGTGAATGTAAGACAGTTGGACAGAGTTTCCTCTTTAAAAATTCAAACTTGTTCGTTCTTCTGCAGGTTGGCTCTGTAGTAGCTGTTGGCTGGATGCGTGCCAAGAAAGCTGTTGATTGGCGCCTCTTCAGAAACATTTTCATGGCTTGGTTTGTTACAGTTCCCATCTCTGGGCTTATTAGTGCTGCCATTATGGCTTTATTCAAGTTTGCTATCTTATAAATGTGCTGAAGTACTGCCTAACCACCACCTATATTAAGGGCAGTGTTGCTGTGGTTATGCCCCTGTGCTTAGAGAATTCATTTGGATCATTGAGTTCTGTAAAATGGAAGTTAAAGCCATCACTTGGATCTTGAAGACATCAGTATACATTTCAATAGAGTCCAACTTGACCGTGTTTATAGAAATGCAAATTTTTGTTTGTGATTTTTTTGTCCTTGACCTTGTACAAGTTACTTTGAATTTGAGACCCATTGTCAAATTCTTTTTTGTACAGTAAATTCATTGCATGTTTTTAATTAATAAGGCGTACTGCTATTTAATACTGTGAACTATGAACTGGAGGAGCTTCTTTGACATTTGATACTTGAAATAAGTATGCATAAAGCACTGAAGTTGTGACTGACCCACTTGTATGTCTGCTTGAAGCAATGTCAAGGTACCAAAGACTGAAGCAATCAAGTGCAAACTTCAAACTTAGTTTTTTACAAGTCTTCCATTTTAAACCTGACATAATCAAGAAACATCTATCTGTAATTTAAGTTACATCTTTAATAAAGATTAGCACGCCTTGCATGACTTGGTTTTTCATTGATGTTTGTTTTAGCCAAGTTGCAGTCGTCATTGCAGAATATGTATTGACGTTAAGTGGTATAGTCTACAAGGTGCCCATGGATAAATGGGAGGAAATGGCAACCCAACTTGAGTGCATCTCTGTGCTTGAAGGTAAATCCAGCTGTTCAAGGTCAAAATTGGAAGCAGTTGGAGAATTGACATTGAATTAAGTGGGATCGATTGTGTGAAACATTCAAATGCAGTCACCAAACATTATTTGTTAAGTGACCATCAGCAGAGACCTGAATCTAGAAGTGAGGTTCAGAGGAATGAAATACAAGGTGGATTTGGGTGGGAGATAAATCAAGAAGGTAAGCAGACAGTTGCTTGGTTGTTCAGCTCCCTACCCGACTAGTCAAGGCGACTTGGAACCATTTGACCAAGAACTTAGCTGGTGTAACATTGCCTGTTTCCTGGTAATATCTCAAGTGACAATTGGTGATTGACCTCCTGTTCGAAGATCGTCCAAGCAATTAACGTGATGCTGACCTTTGTTGAGTTGAGAAAAGTACATCTGGGATGAGAATCTTAAATTAAGGTCATGACAAGGATGTGGGAATAATTCACTAATGTGAATGGGGAGACTAAGTAAGGTTAGCGGAGAAACAGTGGCAGAATGGAAGGAGGTAAATTACAGTGAAAGATGTCAATGGATTAAACATATAATTGACAAATGGAATTCAGTTTTGAGGTGAGATGATGCACTTGGACAAGACAAATAACAAAAGGAAATGTATGAGCAGTTGTACCCTAGAAGCACCAACAACCCAAGCGACCTTGTGCGCAACAGGACAGATAAATCAAGTGGTTTTAAAAGACTTCTGGATTAGTTGCCTTTTATTAGTTGAGATATGTCTCTGAGACATTAAAATTGGAACTGTATAAAATGTTGGTTAGAACAAAGCTAGAATGCTGGCTGCAGGTGTGGAGCCCACAAAAGATGAGAGGTGACTGCAGTGGAGAGGAGATTTACCAGGGTGTTAATTGCACTGGAGCTTCAGCTACGCAGACAGATTGATTTTTAAACTGGGCTTGTTTTCCATTGTAGAGCATAAGAGATTGGAGAAGGGATGTGATGCAAGATGCATAAAATTGAGGAGCATGGTGAGCAATAAAGAAAAAATGTACCTGATGGAGGGATCAATGACCTGAGGGCACAGATTCTAATAGAAGGATGAGGAGGTTTGTAAGAATCCTGCCAGTGCAGATAGTAGCCATTCAACCCAGTAAGTCCGCACTGACCCTTCAAAGAGCGCACACCCCACCCACACTATCCCTTCAAACCCCACATTCACTTGGGCCAATCCACCTGACCTGCACATCTCGAGTGTGGTAGGAAACCTACACGGACAGTCAGCCATGGCTGCAATCAAACCCAGTTCCCTGGAGTTGAGGCAATGGTGCTAACCACGAAGCCACCATGCCTTTTACTGGTTACAATTAAGAGTCATATGGCATGGAAACAGACCCTTTGTTCTTACCAGTCCAGACTGACCATAATCTCAAATTAAACTAGTCCCACCTGCCTGCTCTGAGCCCATATCCCTCCCAATCTCTCCTGTTGATGTAGCTATTGAAGTGCCTTTTAAAGGTTATAATTGTACCTACATCCACCACTTCTGCACCCAGACGGTAATGGGAAGCGTGAACTCTCTTGATGTTGGAGTGGGAGAAACAAAAAGGCTCATAACTACTTCAGTATTTAGATGTATACTTGCAGTGCTAAGGCACACAAGGCAATGAGCAAAGTGCTGGAAGATGGGATTGGAAGAGTGAGGTGCTTATTTTTAACCAGCCTTTACATGTGTTGCAGCTTTTTCTGACTGTAACTCCGGTTATGAGAAGGCTTTCTCACGTGGCTAACTAAGGGAGTTGATGTCTCAATCTGTAGAGCCCATTTTTGAAATGTCTAATGCATAAATTTAACAACTGTAATTGCAGTATGAAGAAAGCCAGCAAGAAATGTCAATGTTAAGTTTCTATAGTAATAGGAAACTGCATTGCTGCCCGCACTCTTCAAAAAAGGATGCCAGAAAGAAGGAAAAAATATACAGCATTTGGTTTAACACATTTATTGGGAAAAGTTGGAAACACTGATGGTAAAAGGACACCAAAATGAATGTCAACTCGCAGACTTGACATCGTTTATCTGAAAAGTAAAATTAATGGAACAAGTCAGTGGAGTATGTAGGGGGCGGGGGGGTAAATATGTGCTTTGTTTTGGAACGCAAAAAGTTGATTACATGTTGAGATGCTACAAGCCTGTGGGATTAGAGTACCCATAAACATGAATCACAAAGCAAGGAAGCAGGAATGGAATAAATTTTTAAGGCATTGTTGATCGCTTATGGCAAGGGGACTGCAGCTGACATGAAGGGAAATCCTGCTCTCAACTTCACAGCAGTGGTGAGACCTCATGTAGTGTCTTCGACTGATGAAGAGTTCTGCATGCAGTGAATGTTGATCGGGGAACCCTTTGGGGCATCCTGGTCTACTCCTCCACTCCCGGTCTACTCCTCCACTCCCAAACATCCTACAGCACCCTCCCATGGAATCAGAAGGTGTCACATCTATCTGCTTCCGTCATTCCTCATCACCCAAGCCGCCAGACACACCTTACAGGTGAAGCAGCAGCACTTGACTCAATCTAGTCTACTGTCGTCATTGTTGGTAACAGGGTGGCCTCTGTAGTGGGGAGACCAAATGCAGATGAGGCAAACGTTTTGAGGAACACTGAAAATTAACTCGAGTTTTCACTTGGCTGTCACTTAATCATGCAACCATGTTTCCTGGCCTATGTCTCAGTCTTGGGCTTGCAGCAGTGCCACAACAAAGCTCAGTGCAAGTTGAAAGAACAGCATCTCATTTTCTGCTGTGGAACCCTGCACCCCTACAGGACACAACACCAAGTTCAATATTTTACAGCTTGAGCTCCATTTTGTGTCTTTCTCCCACTCTGACACACCAGGCCTTGTCAGCATGTGAGCTGCTTTCACCACAGCCAACCCATTTTCATCCACTAATGATCTCCGCCTGCAGCTTTTATTTCTCCCTCGTTCATCACTATCCATTCCTTTGCCTGCCCAACTGCTGTTCTTTCTCTAAAGGCTCGATCTACCTATCATTAATTTGAAACTGCACCCCACCCAAGCTCTTAATCTTCAGCGTAAAATCATGTTGAAAGCATTGAGTCAGTCTTTTTTTTTTAACTACGGAACTGCTGAGTTTCTCCAGCTATTTGTGTTTTTGTTTTTGTTTCAGATTTCCAACATCTGCTGTCTGCTTTTTTGATCACTTGGCTCGTTGCTGGGATTAGGGGTTTCTCTTCTGAGTCAAAGTTGTATACTCAACCAAGTTTACAAAGTTGAGAGGTGATCTCACTTAAATAGAAGATTTTTGAGGGGACTTGCCAGAGTCCTAGGTCTGAGAATGAGGTCATGAAGCTGAAAGAGAGCAGATTTGGGGAAAAGACAGGCAATTGACAGGGTGTCATCACAATATGTGAAAGAAAATGGCTTCATTGGAAACGTCAAGTAAAAAAGCAAGGTCACACAACAATGATCAGACTTCTCACTTCTGGGCAAATTGCGAAAGTGACACTCATCAACATTAAAACCATGCAATTCACAACAATACCTTGATTCACAACTCAGTCATTTTTTTCCCTGTAGGCACCACCAGCTCCACTTGTCTTTAATGAGTTCAGCATTTTTGTCAATAATTTTTTTATGACACCTCAAACTTTGTAGCCATTTCCTATGTCCTGCAGTTCTAATTTAACCTGAAATTCTGCTCAGGATTCATTAACATTCGATATATAAAAGAAGAATTTGGTAATAATTGCGAAATTAGGAGTGAGAAACTGAATTGGGCACTCAAGCTGTGGATGGTGCTAAGTAAAGGTGCGGACTTGAAGATCACCAAGATAAACAGACTGTGGATGCTCGTGATAGATAGCTTTCCCATTTGCCCAATTGCTGAACAACATTAATATCAAGTATGACCTGAATACGTGCACACCCTTGCTTAGTGATAATACTTGGGCAAGCGGAGAATTGAAAAATAGTCTGACAGAACTATAAATATTTAAGTAAGATTTCAGTCAGTTCTTCTGAGGATATTTTAACTAGATAAGACATTGAGTACGTATCCATGGCCACATGACTCTCGATAAAACCTAATGGTGCCTTGTGCTTATAAGAAAATGTTCAACAATATCACAAAATATGATGCCCCACTATGATAGACGATATGGTGTAAATGACGAACATAAAATTGTATAACACAAATTGTTGGATAGTTCATTATTGAGGAGTTAGACAAATTGATGAATATATTCTATCAAAACATAGAGATTATCAGCAAGTTTGATTGTGAATTGTCAACAACTGTACATCTGTCTGCACCACATATGCAAAATTTGTATAATTTACTGGTGAACTCTGAAACAAAGAAGATTGTTCTGAAGCTTTCTATTCATAAATGCTACATTCATCTGAATTATCTTACATCTGGTTGCACATTGTGAAATTGGGAACAGAAAAAAAACCAGGTCCAAGATCCCACTAACTTGTGAACAATATAATTTTACTCATTATGTGGAAGACAAATTAACAGATATCCCAGTAAAGGGGATAGTCAGTAAAGAACTGTACTTCAAAAACTTAATTCAACAACATTCCAGCAGTTATTTTCCCAAAAGAACCATTTCAATCACATTTTAGGACCAAATTTAATATATCTATGGCAAATATTCACAAACCTATAATTTTAACGTATCTGTAAAGTGACTAATTCATGTATTATTCATTGATATTCCACACGGTCATCATTCAGAACCAAAGAGTTCAAGTAGTTGATACGAACATTTCTTCTTACAAGAGCAGGGCCACGTTCTTTGGGAACTGGGCCGACTGATCCTTTATCCGTTCACCTTCAGGACAGATTACTGAAGGTGCTGGGAATATGGTTTCGAGGGGCCAGGGTCTGTACAAAAACTTGGGAGACACACATCAGCAAAGCGAGGCACAAACAGGGCTTATGGGAGCACTGCTCCCTTTCCATTACAGGTAAAAACCTGGTCATCAGGTGTGAGGTACTCTCAGTATTGCTGAGAAGTCTGGCTCATTCCCTGAACCTGCGCTTTCGTCTGGAGGTCAAAGATGGACCATGTCCACAGGTGCATCATGTACAAATCTCGAGATAAGAGGGGGGAAACCGTACCCATTATCCTCATCCTGATGGCCACCTTTGTGTGTGGCCACATCAAGCTTGTGCGTAGACCTTCGGTATGCAAATGCCAAATCTCACTATGTTCTGAGGTTCAACTTGTGAAGGACAGGTCTGGCTGAGGCACCACGGAACACTCCAAGTAGTTGGACCATTCCGTATTGTCAGTCCTTTGTAGAGAACTCTGGAAATAAAAACACCTTTGACCACAAGTCCAGCAGGAAGAGGTCAGCACGTAGCATCTTTGAGACCCTGCGTGAAAAGGAGAGGGTGGGTTCTGTCGTATAGTTCCCTGAGCAGACTGTCAAAATCATCTGGCAGAATACCTCATTGCCAGAACTTTCCAATAAGCACAAGATATAGCTGGGCTGGTGGTGAGAAGGGCATTGCCTGTCAGAACTTTCATGCATACCCAGTATCTGTGCCATGTCACATGCTGTCCTTGAAGAGGCTGCACTGGCGAGTAGACTGTCACACATCTTCTGGAATGTGCCTTTGCAAAAAATGGTCTGGAGAGAGATGATATGGTTTTTGTTATGGTTCGTCCCGAGCAGCTCCGGGACCCAGCACTCTATGCTCCATGGACTGTTCCCTCGGATACACGCTGAGACAAAAATTGACTGCGCCTCTCGAACAACAACTCGGTGAAAGACGCTCTTTGGTCTGCCCAAAATTTGTTGGTCTTCCAGAGGCAGGAGTTGACCTCGACCAAGGGTTGCAGACTAGCACATTCTGAAGTCCAGAACTACGTGCTGTGGGATGCACTGAAGCTTGGAGCTGCCACCGCCAAGGCACAGTGGGGAGGCACCACCATCAAAAGTCTTTCTGCTGAAGTACAATGGGGGTTCATTCAGTTATCAGACCGTCCTTGTGCCTTAATGTATTTAAACATAGTCACGTATAAGTAAGAAATGCCTTGGTTTTTCCTCAACCTGCAGGGAATGCTAAATTCCAATATTTGTTTATTTTCATGTGCAAAGACTGTACAAAATGCTTCAGCAACTATGTACTCATATCAATTTTTTTAATGAATAAAGTATGTTTTTGCAATACATTGAAAAAATTTCTCTGACTGCAGTTTCAGTTCAAAATTTACAGAGGTAATATCAGAGGTTCAGTCCCAGGCATTTAAAAGCATGGGGATCAATGGCAGAGTAATTAAAATGGGGGTTGCACAAGAGGGAACAATTGGAGGAATGCAAAGATCTTGGATGTTTATCAGATTGAAGAAGGTGAAAAGGCGTGGAAAGAATTTCAATCTGCGTGAGAATTTTAAAATTAGGGCTCTGCTAGACTGGGACCGAATGCAACTCGGCGAGCACAGCAGCATAATCAAAAACCCATCAAACCTTGCTTTGCCATTCAGTGCAATCATGCCTAATCTCAATTCCCTTACTTTCTTAATTTCCTGAAAGATAAAATGCGATTGACCTCAGCCTTAAATGTGTTCAGTGATAATGTACCCAAAGCCCTGTGCATGGACAATTCCAAAAATTCACAATGTTTGATTGAACATTTCTCCTTATCTGAGACACAAATGATCATACCCTTTATCAACAGATTCCCCATCCAGGAGAAACACTCTCTCAATGTCGAGTCTGTCAAGCACATCAGAATTTTCTTTAGTTTAATGAGATTACCTCCCCAGATATTTTGTGTCCACTTAACTAACTTCTTATTCAAACAACCTTCTCAACTGATGAGCCAATATACTGAATCTGGAGCTGGTCTTTGTGATGGAGACAATACGCATTAAGAAGGTCAACCCAGTTAGGTAACGAAGAACAGTGCAAACAATAACAGAAAATCTTGGAAAAACTCACCAGGTCTGGCAGCCTGTGTGGAGACAGACGCTTTTAACATTTTGAGTTCAATATTACTCTTCCTCAGAACTGCTGTTGAAAATTGTCAGCAAATATGAGTAATTTTTCCAATTCTGAACGAGATCTGAAAGTAGCATCAACGACATCATCACTGAGTTAGAGAAAGAATTGTAAGTGGGGGTCTTATTAGGTCTGGAACAAAGAATATTCCATATTTCAATGCTGGGTTCGCACTTTAATCTCACTGTTCCCTATTGCACCACTTAATATCACTTGTCTTCTGGACGAATAGTAATCTCTCCAGATCTCTCGACTTTAGCAATTTTCTCCCTCATATTTTTGATATATTTTCCAGTGATCTCTGCTTCTTTTCTCCTGTGAAATTCAGAGTCTGCAAGAAAAATTCTGCTCAGTGCAGTCATTGACTGCTTTGTCTTCATTCTTAAAACCATAAGACTATTTAAAAGAGAAACAGGAGTAGGCCATTCGGCCCCTCGAGTCTGCTGCACCACTCGATGGGATCATGATTGATCTGACACTCCTCACATCCACTTTCCTGCCTTTTCCCTAAAACCCTTGATACCCCTACTGATCAAGAATCCATCTGAGCCTGAAATATAGGGTTCTGTGGCACACTGGTAGTGTCCCCACCTCTGAGCCAGGAGACCCAGGTTCACGTTCCACCTGCTCCAGTAAGAGGCAGGCAAACTGAGACCCAGCGTAGTTACCCATAGCCACACTTTTGACACAGGCAAGCTGAATGAGATGAATTGAGGAAGTGAGGACAAACTCAGCAAGACAAAGGAGGGTGGTGACGCATGGAGACACTTCATGCCTCCTTTCAAGAAAGAACATAGGGCCTTCAAACCATCCAGATATAGGATGTACAGATATGGGATAGCAATCCTTTCGAAAAGAAGACATCAAGGGTCAGAAAACTGGAAATTGCAGAACCAATGTAAAGCAGCAGAAGATTTATGCATGAAAATACGGAGAGACTGAATCAAGGAGAGAAAAAAATCAGTCAAGACAGGAAGCAATAGAATTATTGGTCAAGTAGAAGCTGAAATGATGGGTCTGCCAGGCCCATCCTGTTGCGTATTTTGGGAAGCAGGCAGATGCGAGCTATGCGTGATTCTGGGACAATGGGGTTGGAAGCTGTGGAGGTGAGATTTCCAGAGGATATAAGGTGAGTGACAGCCCTGGAAATAAACAGTTTGACATTCAGCATTGGAGTCATGATCTAGAGAAGATAAGATGAAGTGTTATGACAGTTGGTACAGAGCCTCTGCAGGACAGACTATCATCGTGCCAGGTCACAGCAGAAACTCATCAGCAGGTTTGGTAATCAAGTCGGAATTGGATACGAGAGAATGGGGTGCAGCAAGTTCAGAGGGAGACAAGTTGGAGTGAGAGAAAGGAGCAATTAAGGCAGCTGATGTCACATCAGCTGTTCTCAGTAAAGAGGTCAAATGCAGGTAAAAGGCCAGAAGAAAGGGACCAGGTGGATGGTGAGGATTGTACATGGGTGACAGGATCTGTGCAGCAAGGAGACTCCTATGCAAAGAAGAGGGCACAGAGACAAAGACAGTGGAAGGAGAGTTTAGCATCATGTCATGCCCGAATTTCATTGAAGATGGAGCCGAAAAAGAAAAGGCAAAGTCCTTTGCTGAGCACAGATCTTCTAGCATAAAAGAGGAAAGGTCAGAGGATATGGTGAATACGTGGCAAGTTGGATTGGATGAAGAAATGCAGTCAGACTGAGGGAGAGGAAGGATTAGTACCCTTGCGATTTTGGAGCTTGTTTTCCTGAACAACAGAAAGGATGAGACAAAGTTTCTTGTTAAAGCATCAAATGAGACAAAGAATGAATGATACTGATGCCCAGGACAGCTATGAGATAGTGTGGTGTCATGTTGATCGAGACGGAGGTCAAGAGTGTGCATGAGGCAGCATATGACACTCAGTTGCAAACAGTCTGGTTCTGCTGTAGCCAGTGGCAGGAATGAGGTTTATGGCAGGAAGACTGAGCTCATTGCAGAGACTGATGATAGCGCTTGTTCCCAACATTTAATTGCAAAAAAAATTCTGTGAATTCAATACTTGATGTCAGGCAGGAACTGCAACAATCACAGAGAGTAGAAGCATCGAAAACTATGGTGAGGTGGAGCTTGGTGTTGTTGACGGATGTATTGAACCTGAGTATTTTCAATAATGTTACAGTTCTTGGGGAGGAGTCAGGGCAAGGATGGCCCCTTGAGGGGCTTTCACCAACCAAGAACCATCCTTCCGTCATGCCACGAGGGATAGATAATCAGTAAAATTATATTTGTGGCTAACCCTGGTTTTAAATAATTTATAAACTTGAATTGGAGCATCACTTTCCTGTTAGATGAATGGTCCGTTATTTTGCTTGAGTTAAACTTGAATACATGCTTTGTATTCCTTAAAAATGTAGCTTTCTTTTGATTGCATTGCAACATCTTTGTACTATGAAAAACAGATTGCTCATGTTACAGGAATCTCATTTGCATTGATATACAAACTTTACAACAGATAAGAGGAACGAAATTATAGACTCATAAATGATATTTATTGGTTTTATTCAAATTGCAAGTCAAGTTGGGGTCTGACCTCTATCTATACAAATTCACCTTTGAACAGATATATATGCAGGCACAGACTGCTTTATTTGAGAGGATCAACAAACATATTTTAAGACCAGTCTAGGATAATTCCAGGGTAAAGTAGCCATCTGTTAAATTATTTAGTTTGTACTAGGAACTGAATTGTATTTACATTCAAAACATCTGAAATATCAACATTGGAGATGGCACGTTGCAGTAAATTCAACAAACCTATGCACAGACCTGGCCCAAGTTGATGCAAGAACTACAGGTTTAAGTGGCATTAATAGTTAAATATCCAGCAAATTTTTAAAAAATTGTAATTAACCTTATTCCCAGTCCTGCTGATTTTCAATACACAAGGCTGACTGCAATTCAACCTATTTTGTCAGCAGGTCATTTCACTAACTGGAGACATTAGTTTTTTGCTATTTTGTTCAAAAGTTATCAAACATTATATATTTAAGGCTTCAAATTCAACACTGTAAAGTATGGATGAAGTGTTCTCAAGAATTTACTTGTATTTCCAATGCACTGGCAACAAACAGAAGCAATCATGACAGCAAATAAACATACTTGAACATATTAAATTCCAAGAATGACTACAGATGCAAATGTAAGGAAAATTTTGTATTTGCAGGTTCAAAAGATTCCAAAAAATCACTTTGCGTTATGTGTTTATGCATCCTTCCCACTATGCGCATTGGACTTGGCATTATCATCTATGCCTACGTCTCACGAACGAATTGAAAAAAATGCCCAACGACACTTGGATCCCGAACGACAATGTATTGGACTGTTGGATGAATTTAGACTTCAGAAAAAATAAATGCTCTCAGGAGAAAGATGCTTGGAAGAGTGAGCAAAGGGCCTTGAAATCGCTTCAGACATTGAACAAAATCATGTACGAAAAGCAATGCTGATTCCAACCATGTTAACAAATAAAATTGTATGAAAGTGGAGGAAAAGGCAATCTTATTTGTAACACAATGAGAAACTAGAACACATTGAGATAAGGTATCAACAATATAGGCAGAAAGAGGGAAAACGTTCTGCTGAGCTAATATGAGCATCTTGGGTTTAAATTGTAAGGCACAAACAAATTGATGATAATCTTGGATTACTGTATTCGCCATGAGCTACCTGGCACAGGATCAACGAGATTAAAGACATATACATGTGACTCAAAGATTGGTGTGGGAAAAACGGGTTCAAATTCATGGGATATTGGCACCAGTGGTGGGGAAGCACCATAAGATCATAAGTTATCGGAGCAGAATTAGCCCACTGTGTCTGCTCTGTCATTCAATTGTGGCTGATATGTTTCTCAAACCCATTCTACTTCCTTCTCCCCATAACCTTTGATCACTGTACTAATCAAGAATCTACCTCTGTCTTAAAGAGACACAATGACTTTGCCTCCACAGCTACTCACTGAAGTTTAGAAGAATGAGAGGTGATGTCATTGAAACATATCAGATTCTTAAAGTGCTGGACAGGGTAATTCCTGCAAGGATATCTACTCTCATGAGACAGTCGAGGACTAGAGGGCATAGTCTCAGAATAAAGGAATGTCAACTGAAGACTGATTTGAACAAGAATTTCTTCTCTCAGAAGGTTGCAAATCTTCAGAATTCCTTGCCACAGAGAGCAGTTCTTATGGAGGCATTTTCTAATCAACCTGTTCAGAGAGGTTATTACTGGAGCAGGTGGAACGTGAACCTGGGTCTCCTGGCTCAGAGGTAGGGACACTACCAGTGTGCCACAGAACCCTATATTTAAGGCTCAAATGGATTCTTGATCAGTAGGGGTATCAAGGGTTTTGGGTAAAGGGCAGGAAAGTGGATGTGCGGAGTGTCAGATCAATCATGATCCCATCAACAGACTCGAAGGACCGAATGGCCTACTCCTGTTCCTCTTTCGAATGGTCTTATGGTTTTAAGAATGAAGACAAAGAAGACAAAGAAGACAAAACGACTGCACTGAGCAGAATTTTTCTTGCAGACTCCGAATTTCACAGGAGAAAAGAAGCAGAGATCGCTGGAAAATATATCGAAAATATAAGGGAGAAAATTGCTAAAGTCGGGAGATCTGGAGAGATTACTATTCGTCCAGAAGACAAGTGATATTAAGAGGTGCAATAGGGAACAGAGAGATTAAAGCGGCGAACCCAGTACTGAAATGCCTTTTTTTTTGGCCTGAAAGCAAACAGAATGAATAATTCTAGCAGCTTAAAGTAACAGAAAGCTCCGGCATCTATTTTCATGTTCGACAGGTTGGGGAGAGGTGGTGCCCTCTGATGGTGTCAAAAAGCTCATTGCGTCCTATTCAACCTTCCCTGTCCTGACTCCAGTTGGCCAAGTCTCCAACTGATGCGGGACAAGCAGCGATGCCCGGTTTCTGCCCCTCGCAATAAAGAACAACGGACCAATTTAACTGCCCGAACTCCCCCCAGATGGAGGGAAGGGTAAAAGAGATGGTGGGTAAAGTGTCTAAAATGGCGCGTGACAGCCAACGGTTGCTATCTTACAGGGGAGTGAGATTACCGTTGTTTACGGTGGCGACAGAATGAAAAAAAAGTAAACAATACTGGCCATGTATAAGCACCTCACCTGTCGCCAAAGGGAAAACTAAACTCACGCAATGTGAAACGATGCCCGTGGAGGACGGAGGATTTCCCGTTCCCATGGAGACCGTTGGGCTTTGACCCGGAAGGCGAATTCATGGCGGCCGGAGGTCAAGTTCGAGTGTCATCCGGCGGCGAAGGCATCGCCGAGCAGCCATGGCGGATGTGACTGCTCGTAGCCTGCAGTATGAGTACAAAGCGGTGAGTGCTGCCGGTGTTGAGGATCGTTAACCCTCGGTTTGATCCCCTGGAAGGGCTGGACACAGTCGGGCGCGGGTTTGCTCTGCCTGAGCTGAATTGGGCGAGTATAATGCCACTATTAAGCACGCCGCCAGGTTGAGGCCTGGCCTTTGCTGTGGTGAATGCGACATGAGAACTGGGTTGGCATCTCTGTTGAGCTGAAATCAGAAAATTGAAAGGATCTCCAGGCAACCTAAGAACAAGTGTCTAGATCCCTTGTCATTGTTATGGAATTGTTTCCAATGGCTTTTTATTTTCATTCTTTGACTTAAATGAGTACACAATTTATGCCCCAATTCCATTCCACAACAAAAATTAGTATTGTGCAATTTTGAAATCAAATTCTCGACAAAAACGAATGCTGGTCTTTTTTTGGAAATGCTAATTGACCTTCAACTTCTCATGAAAATCCTCTAAAATCAGTAATTTTGGAGGGGATACAGGGAAATACTGTTAATTCCCAACTTTGCTCAAGGACTGGAAATTTTGCATGGTTTACACATGAGTGCAATACTGACAAGTTTGTGCAAACCACTCCACGTTAGAATAAGATTAGTTTCTTCATTCTTTTTGCAGAACTCCAACCTTGTATTGCAAGCAGATCGTTCATTGATCGACCGAACAAGACGAGATGAGCCCACAGGAGAAGTGCTGTCTCTGGTTGGAAAGCTCGAAGGGTCCCGAATGGGAGACAAAGCTCAGAGAACAAAACCACAGTTGCAGGAAGAAAGACGAGCAAAGTAAGGACGTGTGTTGTCAAATGTCACAGTTTATTTGGAGTTGGGAGCAGAGTCATACTAACAAGCTATCTTTATAAGCTGAAAAAGATTCATCCTGAATGATAAAATGTTTTTGGTTAAATGCAGGTAAACAGACAAGGTGGGTCAATCAGTTCAAAGCACTTGATATTTTTGTTTACTGAAAAATTTTAATGCTTCACAATGAGCAAAGTTGTCAGACTAAACAAGAAATTGAGACCTGAGGTGATATTAAAATAATCATTGCACCTCATGGTGGGAAACATATGATTTTGGTGTATGCTGTTATTTAATGTAAGCAACATTATGAACATTTACAAGCATTTGTTTCTCAACAGTCCACATTCTGGTCTTTACATTCCAAAGATTACATCTTGCTCTTAACTCAAAAGAACCGTGAAGGTTCAGAACAATTATCTACTCATTCATAGGATAGACAGGTTTTCGGTGTCTCAGGGAATTGAGGGATGTGGGGAATTGGCAAAAGAGTGGGTCACTCCACAAAGCGACCAGTCCAGTCCAGCTCCTGTCTGTCATTTTCAGTGGTGTGCTGAAGTGCCAAGGTTTTCTTTACTCTGTATAACAGTAGTTGAGAGAGGTTTGCAGTTGAGCATGTCAAATTTCAGTCCTTTGGAGCTTCCTATTCCGAACAGGGGAGATTATTTGTAGTCGGATTGCTGGGCACTTTTCAACCAATCTTTTAGAATGGTGGTTTTGTGCACAAATATATATTTGTGCTCTGGTTAAGTGAGAATTCTTATTTTAATTTCTTGGCTGTTAAAATGTTTTGAATTCTGTCTCATGCAGAAGGAGAAAGCGTGATGAAGACCGACATGACATGAACAAAATGAGGGGATACACTTTGTTGTCAGAGGGCATTGATGAAATGGTTGGAATTGTGTACAAACCCAAAACAAAGGAGACCAGAGAGACCTACGAGGTGCTGCTCAGTTTCATTCAGGCTGCACTTGGTGACCAGGTGAGAGTCTCCAGTGAAAAAATATCCCAGACAGATCCACTGCTACCAAAAGCAATGGATGTAATTGATCCCTTTAATGATTAACTAATTTTAAGATCTACCACATCACAGAGACAGGATGCCATTTTATGCAAAGGGGAAGACTTCCATTTGTCTTGACTTGTTTCTTGGGATGTTAATGTTTCAGCACTTCCACTGCATGCATTTATCTTCCTTTAGGTTCTTTTACTTTTAACCTGATTTGTACCTGAGGCTTAGTCAAAGTTGATTGACTCCTTTCCTTTGATTTCTTTGACCCTTGCTCTTTGAGGCCATCCATACCACGGCCAGTGTGGAAGCAGGCCATTCAGCCTATCGAGGCCATACCAACCCTCCAAAGAGCATCCTACTGAGATCCATCCCATCCCTGTAACCTTGCATTTCCCATGGCTAACCCACCTAGTTGCACATCCCTGGACACTTTGGGCAATTTAGCATAGCCAGTCTACCTAACCTGCACATCTTTGGACTGTGGGCAGAAACCAGAGCACCTGGAGGAAACCCAGACAGACACAGGGAGAATGTGCAAATTCCATACAGACAGTTGCCCAAGGCTGGAATTGAACCCGGGTCTCTGGCAGTGTGAGGCAGCAGCGCTAACCACTGAGCTAACATGCTGATTTGCCTGGTGTACTTCCATATGAAAGATGCATGTGTCATAGACAGCGTGAGCAGTAATTCATCAATGATCACTTTAGAGGTTGAACAAGAAAGGTAAATTTGTTACACGGTGACATGTATTGCATCTTCATTAGCTGGCAATTTTTCTATATTGGTTGGGTTTTTCTTTCTAGCCACGTGATATTCTCTGTGGAGCAGCAGATGAGGTCCTCGCTGTGCTGAAAAATGATAAACTGCGTGACAAAGAGCGACGGAAGGAAATAGAAATGCTCTTGGGACAGTTGGAGGATACCCGTTACCATGTACTGGTGAATCTAGGAAAGAAAATCAGTGACTACGGAGGAGACAAAGAAGTGCAGAATATGGGTATGCAGGACAAACAGTTAAAGGCTGAAGCGTCGCATCAATAGGCCATTGAAGTGCCAATAAAGTACTGTTTTGTTTTGTTTTGTATTATCTTAACTTCCCCACTATTTTCCCTAACCCTACCCCAGATGGATTAGAATAATTTGTCCCCTTCATTGCATGGAAGAGTTCAGTCATTTCAGACTTCTCTTGATGCCACAGTTTGGACAGAGGTTTGAAAACCAAGAAGCCTCTGCTAAAATATTTGATTTCTTTGTCCCAGTATGTGGGAAAAGTTTCACTCATGGAATGACCTTGTCTGCCCACCCTTTTGATTAAATTAGATTAATTTGCCATTTTAATGTTCAACAGGAGCCGTTCCTATGAAATGCAACCTAGCCCTTCTTCCCTTGGCTGCTTGTGTGGAGTACTTGATGTCATTAAGTTTCAAGCTGGAGTCACTGAGCCTTCTGCCTCAGTGGTCCTTCGTATCATCTTGTTTCAGTATTTGTTAACTGGGCATTTAATTCTGTGGTGCTTTGTTTAATGCTCGTGCTGTTTGCTTTTGAGCAACCAAAGCTATATATTTGAAGTTAGCACTTGTGGCCTAGGTCTTTTGAGTTTTCATCCTCATATCCAAAGTTTTCACACATGGAACTAATAATTAGCATTTATCTGAAATAACATTGTTAAAAGCAGCATTCTCCAGCAAATGATATTTGTGCTAAGTATTAATTGATTTGCATCAGTTCTGATGATCAGATTGTCAAGATTCTGTCTACAAAAGTTGGATCAGTTCTGAACCAAAAACAGAAATGGTTGGAGAAAGTCTGGCAGCATCTGTGGAGAGAGAAAACTGAGCTGATGTTTTGAGTCCAGTGACCCTTCTTCAGAACTATTGGTAGCTCTAAAAAGGTGATATGCTGAAGGTAGGGGAACAGAGATGTACAGGAGTAAGTGAATAGCTGAAGATGGAGCACGGAGAGAGTAAGACAGTTAGGCAGACAAAGGGACAAAGAAAAGATAATAATGTGGACCATAAGCTGGTGAAAATGGGTTACATGTCCTGAAAGCAGTCCATATCATGAGGGTGTGGGGATGGGTAAAGGACATAGAGGATCGTGTTCAGATTGAAAAATTATAGAACTTGATGTTGAGTCCTAAATGGTTCAGGGTTCCCAAGCAAACAATGAGATGCTGTACTTATAGTTCCGAAAAAAGATCACCGGACCCTTGTGCTGAGCCTCGCTGGAGCAGAGACAGAAATGTTGGCCAGGGAACACGGTGGCACGTTAAAGTGGCAGCCAACTGGAAGCTTGCGGTCATTTTTTTGATGACCATTGGATCAGCTTTGTTGTCTGCCAGTCAGAATCCTCAGTTGAGCAAGGAGGGTCAACTGTTCGTCCAAAAGCTTTTCTTTGCCATCTGGATTTAAACAAAAGAACAATGTTATACTTCAGGCTGTTATGATTGCTTTAGTGATATTGAACTGAAACTGAATCTGTGTTATAGGAGAGCCATAGCGTTAATACGATAATAAGTTATAATTTTTCAATTGGCAGCAAATCACATTGTGTTCCAAGTTGCTTTTAGACACTGTTGTGCATGCTGCCTGTAAACTCTCAGTTCCATCTTGGGAGTTGCTTCTGTTTCTGAGGGAAACTGCTTTGAATAGGAACAAATTAAGAGCATATCCTCCTTTTTCAGATGATAACATTGACGAGACGTACGGAGTGAATGTGCAGTTCGAGTCTGACGAAGAGGTGAGTGCCGTTACCTTAAAAAGTTGCTGAAACCCACTTGTAGACTTTGTAGACTGACATGGTTAGTAGGATCTGAAACTTGGTGGTTGCTACAGGGAGATAGCTGAACTATTGATTATAGATCGGTGGTGGCACAGACGGCATTATGACTGCGTGAGTGTCTAAGTGAGAATTGTTCACGCATTATGACACATGGACATATCTGCTACATGTAGTTGACATGTCGCACTGAATAGATGATTAGCAGAAGTTGGCAATTTGGCCCATGGATTTTGCTCCACTAAAGTCTTTAGACATCCTCATTCATCAGTCCACAATATTGTCAGTATAAAATGT